TTGGATTCAAGGTTTCCCATGTCCCCTAAGTTGATGGTGAAATTGAATCTGTCATAGCCATCGGTTGCTTGACTACGACGAACATCGTCGTTATACTCGGCAACAACCTCGGACGTTGTTTTCCAATAGTCTGATGTGAATCGCGCCACAACATGCTTCTGGAAAGAAATGTTGGCAACGGAAACCACACCAACAAGATTCTTGTAATCTGACGATAAGAACATCCGCTCCAGGCGGACGGGCATGGTCTTTCTCGCTTCTAGATCATTTGGGAAATTGGCGATCCGAGCTTCCCACTCAATGGACTTTGATTGGAAAGGTCCGTTCGGATCTAGGTCGAAGGGAAATTCGCTATCACCGTCGTAATCCTCCACGGGGGAAGAACCTGCACTGACAGCGAGAGGTTTGTCAATCTGAAGGAAGTGGCGAATATGCTCCAATTGAGAGTCGAAATGGACTGCCTTTGAGAATACTGGTGTGCCCGGAGCACTGCAGGGCCTTCTCTTCGGTCGAAGCGCAGGCCTCACAAGTTCTCCGGACTTCTTTCGCACCATAGACGCCTTAGTGCTGAGATCCATCTCATCCTCGCCACGGTCGCTATCCTCAGGGGTATGGGTTGCTACATCCGAGGAATTGGGATGAGGCACGCCTGATGTGTCTTTCTTCAGGCGAGACTTAACACGGGACTGCTGTGCCTCTGTAGCTAATGCCATCGACAAGTCCAATGGTGTTGGGGTGTGTTTTGAAATTGAAGCAGCCTTGGCGCCAGGTCCTTTCCTGCTGGGGGGGGTTTGAAGTGAGTTCTGATCAATGGACATTATTACGGCCTCAAAATCCTTTGAGATATCTCCCTCCAACCCTTCTGTAGACTTCCCTTCCTCATCACTCGAGTTGGATTTCGAGTCCGGGGGTGAGATAACTGCCCCTGTCGGGATCATCGCACCTGATGGAGACTTCCACAAGGCTGCACCGGGTGTGGCATTTGACGATGACGAGCTACTCCTCCTTTTCGAGTTGGGTTCGATATCTTGCTGCCCTAGATTCGACATATGGTGAGAGTGGGTTGGGCTCCGTCGATGGCGATAGATGTAAGAGCTCGACGGCGGGGAAGATTGGCTGCGTGAATATCCCACGAGGTTCACAACTGGCTCGGATTTGTGTCGCCCATGGTGAACACTAGGCGGCGAAGAGCCAGCAGAAGCAGGCTGAGGGCGAACTTGCGAATTGAACAACGGAGATGGTGGAGTGTAGGGCATACGGCCGACTTGTTACGTCACAAGTGGGCAGAGAAGCAATCCTATCTCTGTAGATACATCCACTGCTGGTGCTGGTTTTCAGACCAGAAGGTAAGACTTGAACGTAGGCTTTGTGTTGTGGAAAGCAGGCCTAGAAAAAGAAAAAAAAAAGGCTCGGAATCTGTGACTAGCTAGGTCAGTCTGTGAATACGGAAGCTTAGGGCAAACAAATATATAACCGGACGGTCTGAACGGAGATAAAACAGAGTAGATAGTGACAAAGTCAGAATAGCATCTATGATGTCCACTTCAAGTTGGATGGGGCATCTGTTTCAGGCAAAAAAAAAAAAAGGAAATGAATCAAAGAGTGCACGTCATTCCGTATAGAAGAACTCACAAGGGTAGATGCGAGAGACAAGAGTTTCCTCCACTAGAGAGGGGAAAATTTTTTAAAACGAAGATAAGAAACTCCCGTCCTGTTAAATAAGTACTTGTGGAGGATGTGAAAAATATAGCAGCAATCCCTCCTGGAGGCGAAATGCATGATCTCCATTCTCCAACGGGCCTTTTTGCGTGGCGGAGGGGGGGTCGGGGATAGAGAAGCAGGGATAGTAGTAGCACCAACTTCTCTAGAAGCCAAGATATGCGGGGGATAGGCAGGCAAGAGAGGAGGCTGCTTTTTGATTCCAGCTAAGCGAGCAAGCAATCTAGAGCTTCCTGTGCGAAGGGAGGATTGCTTCTGATGCAGAGCTTCTGCGGGATGCTGGCTGTATGAGGGGGGCTCATGATAGATAGCAAGGGCGGCAAACGATGGTGGCTAAACCATGAAGAAAAAGAACTAGACAACAACACAAAGAGACAGTTTCAAATTACCTTGTAGATAGATCCCCAAGCTGCCCTGCCCAGTCTTGGGAAGATAATGTATAATAGGAGAGAGAGGTTATGGCACAAACAGTCTAAATGATAGACTGGAGATGGAAGAGAAGAGTATTAGAAGAACGGGGGTAGAGGAACTAACTACTAGAGTAATCAAGGAAGAAAAAAAAAAAAAACTGGAAAACCTGGAAGACGAAGAGGAATAATACAAAAACAAACGACAAACGACAGCAGAGGAAATCAACGGCAAAATAGAGGGGACGATTTAACTGGGAGATTGGCAATTGAAAGAAAAGAAGAGGAGAAGTAGGAGGAAAAGAAGAAAGGAGGAAGAAGAAGATGAAGAAGATGAAGAAGAGCAGCAGCCGCAGCACGCACGAGGAGGAGCAAGAACGCGGACCCACAACCTGGCGCGATAAGGCGACTCAAAAAAAGACACTGCACTCACTGACAGGCAAGGGCAAGACCGGCAAGACAGGCAAAGACAGGAAAAAGACAGGCAAAAGACAGCCAGGCAAGACAACACAGGGAAGTTGGTGGCGGGACCCCGGCGGCGGCAAGGTCTAGTCTTTAGTCTTTTCTCTGTGTCCTCGCTACCACCGCCGCCAGAGCTTCCCATGGATGGATAGCGTTGGGGAGGGAGGTGGGACGATATCGAGTCTCAAGTACGGAGTACTGGACATAGACACGACATACGCTGCGTATATAACTAACTTCCTGATTTACTGTTTGAAATTACACACACACACACACACATATCTGGGGAATGTCGTCTGTCACCTTCCTATGTATCATCCATGATGCTCAGCTTGCGGATATCTATATCAAATGGGAAAGGTCATGATAGATGCATTGTTTCTCTTCCTCTGATGGTCCTCTCGGATGCAAATCCCAGCAAACGTGTACAATTGTACTTATCCATGTGTAGATTTTAAACTTCAAGGTGGGGGGGATTTTTGGTGGCTGTAGATAAAGTTTTGGCACTTTTTGTATACACTTCGGTAAGATCTGACAAACTTTGCAATTAACCACACATTCATAACATATATAGCAATTACTATTGACAATTGATGTGTACACACGTACAATAATAATTCATATCTAATTTGTACTGTACATGGCACGGTACATCCAACATGTCAAAAAGGGTCTCTAGAAAAACCGTCTCTTTTTTGTCCCACCAGGTCCTCAGCGTGCCTCAACGCCAGCTCTGCATATTAGTAGTCTTCTCTATCATGCATGAGTGAATCACAACATAAACTTATGTCCATCATGTCCATGTCCATTACACACGAAACGGGAGCCCTTGTAGGCCACCCCCCCACCCAGGGTCCTGCAAACACAGCACAGGGAAGACCGAATTCTCGATATTAATCCCTGGAGGGGTGGATTCTGGGCCTGAGGCCTTGTCTTGTATTATTAGAAAGCCTAGAAGGAACTTAACAGAAACTGAGTTTTTTTCTTAGTGCTGCATTTAGCGATGATAATAAATAGCAGCAATAATAGAGTAGGGTCTACCTGTGCCAATAATGCCAAAGTATGTAATCCCTGAGGAAGGAAGGGAGAGGGAGCTCTGACAGACAAAGGCTGCTGCTGTTTTAACTAGTTATTAGTTTGATATTGTAGGCTACTGGAATGTCGTTTGTTCGTGCGTGTACGTACGTTAGTTAAGTTACTTATGATACTTGTTGATCTTGAAAGCTCCGTCGGCGATTCGGCACAGCCCGAAAAATATTTTTATCAAGAAGAAAGAACGGTCAACACAACAGGAATGGTACCATAAGAAGGTTCTCGGGTGTATAACGAGCGAACCCCGTTGTTGCGTGGAGTGGTGTGATGGAGGCAAAAAAAAAAAGGAGCAAAAAAAAAAAAGAAAAAAAAAAAAAAAAAAACTGGTGTAGTTAGGTAGTTAGTTAACTAGCGCGGCGATAAGGAGGCAGGCGGGCTGATGAGAGCCGAGAGCTGGCTCCGGCGAATCAAAGCTCCCCAGAGATTCACATTGTCTGATCAGTGATAGAAAAGTTCCCAGCTCCGTGTTTCCATTATTATGTGTACGGAGTATGTAGTTATGTAGTTATCAGTTGAAGGTTAAAATTTCCTTTTTTTTCAGTCTTTTCTTTCTTTTCTTTTTTTTTTTTTTTTTTTTTTTTTGCGTGCTTGATCTTACAGCGGCTTGGTCTTTGCCACTACTCCACTCTCAACGGCAAAAATTTCTTTGCTATCTTTTGTTCTATCTTCTTCCTTTTCGAATGATAATAATCAATGGTAAATGGTACAAGCTGTAACAGGTACACCTGTAGATGCCAATGGAGGGAGAAAAAAAAAAAAAAAAAAAAAAAAAAAAAAAAAAAGGGGGGGGGGGGGGGGGGTTGCCGCAGGTTGATGGAGAAGAGATAGATGGTTTGGAAGAAGCGATAGACAACGCCATCCAGGCGATTCCAGTCACGTCATCTAATAAGTTCCTGCACTGGACTTTCAGGAATCAAGCAGGATTACAGATTATTATTATCTCAACGGAACATGTCAAAAGCCGTCTGGCAGCAACCCAAGAGAGGCAGGCTATGGGAATGATAATATGCAACTTACCTAGGTACCTAATAGTTCCCATACTGGCGAAATAGGCCCTGGAAGTGTTGGAGATTGATGTCCGAATAACTAATAAGTAATAACCAGAATGAATAATAAAACTGCAGGGAAGGAAAAATGAACCTAGGTTTTATTTAGGGCCTTTTGCCAATTGGCTTTTTCATGATCCCCTCCATTGTTGTTAGCACACAGCGCATTCTTGTTTGTAGTGTACATCATATACGCAGTACAGTACATGTACAAGTACATGTATGTACATGTAACCTACATTACCTCTCGAGATAGTTTTAAGTTTTCCATATATTGTTCCCTTTCTCTGCTCTTCCCCCACATTTTGCCCATTTCCCCGCCATATCCTTCCGCCTTCTTCATCAGTTCCCATCTCGTGAAGTAACTACCACTAGACCAACTCTCTGGTTGTTTGATACTGATATGATATGCATGACGACGGCCCTTATCCATCACGTACTTGATCTCGGAGTTAAGTGCCCACAGACAGTTTATCTAGCTAGCTACACGCCCCACTCGGCCTCGTTCTGGCCCCCCCCGCCCCCCAGCGAGCTCGATTGCCACAGGCTCGACACTATACTGGCGCCATAGGAAAACTCTGTCGCGTCGCGCCTTGTCAAAATAGTAAGGAATGAATGAATCAGGGTTGAACTAGTGTAAGGCCCAGAAGCGCCAGAGTTCCCCAGCAGCCGAGATGGAAGGCTTGCAGGGAAACTGAGAAATTTATGCCAGACAAAAATAAATAATCAAGTTTAATGTTTTTTGTCGAGACACCAAGCTTATAAGTTAGCACTTTTCAAGGTTAGTGTTTTGCTTCCTGAGGTGCTCCGTACCGCACCCCACACCGTGGTTACGGATTACGCTGACAGTACTCCGTAGATGCTGAGAGCTTTTGTCCCTACTCTACTGGCAATTTGATTCTTGAAGCTTAGCAATTGAGGTCTGGAGGATTCACTATCTCAACTACATGCAGATTATTCATCGATAGCCCGACAAGCAGAATCCTGAGATATAGAAACAAGAAAGGAAAAAAATAAATCTGGAGGCGGTGAGACTGAAATGCTTAAAGCTAAAGTGACGATCAGCTGTATTATTGGGAAGGTGAGTGAACAAGTCCAGGAACACCTGGCGGACCTTGACTGATAAGAAGCTTCATCCAGGCTGTCATCACGGCAATTGGGGTTGATCTTGTTGTTGGTGGTGTCTGTCGAATTTGAAAATCAAGTCAACGCTCTTTCCGGGTAACGTTAGCTATCCGACTTTGTGTGTACCGAGTACGGAGTACATAGTTAACTATGTAACTACTGTTGACACACACAGTGCGGATAGAAGAACTCGGAGACTAAAGTCGAGGTTGTTGCAAACCGATTTCCATCATCTGCGCCATGATTGCGCCAACCATGCACTCGAAACAGTCTGCTGGGAATAAGGAATAACACTGTGGCGCCTGGAACAGTGGGCAAGTCACCGTGCTAATTGGCTCCGTTCAACGCCCTCAATGCAGACTTCCCCCGCATCTTCGCCAACCAGTCAACGTGTCACTCTTATGCATGCAAGCAATTCGCCGATAGGGGCCCAGAACCTGCAAAAGAAGAAAAAAAAACCATGTCAAAGCACGCGCTATGTCTCAAATCAGCTCTAACGGGCTTACTGTTCTTGGCGGCATCGAGAAGAAGAAAACGGTCAGAATCAGGGAAAGTTGGCAGAAAAACCATGTTCGATTGCAGGATGGCCCCTCTTCCCCAAGCCCCGGCTGCTTGTCCAGATCCCAGATCCACACATGAGCCTCCGAGCAGACACGGGCTGAGATGGAGCGAGGATAGGCAAGACCGATCATCCCCTTCGACAAATGCCGTTGGTTGGTGCGGTGCAGGGATGAGCTATGTAATTTTTTTCTCAGGGAGGCGGCCTAACTACCAAGGCTTCGACAATTCGTCAACGAGCCATCCGATTGCGATTGTGTTGAGTCCATCCGTCCAAGAGCTCCGCTACATCGAAATCCCCTCTCAGAGTGGATATCCCTGTGGTTTTCTTCACATATTGATCCTGTGTATCACGGGCCTCCTTGACTGGAAATGGCGCACTAGTTTTTGCTTGCTTATCCGTTCCTGTAATACTCCGCGCCGTCCTACTCGCCACAGCTCCCGCAACGGTGTGCTGCAACCCATGCATCAACGGGAGGTTTGCTGCATTGCCATATTATTATTGCTGTCAGCGATCAGAACCCCACTCTACCTATTTACATAGGTACACAAGGTATCGTATCTTGTTCTTGATATTTTCAGCTTCAAGCAAGAGATGAAAAGTTCCGATATAGAAAAGACCCTTACAAACTCCTTCCCTTCTGCATTCGCAGGGAATCTAGGGTTTGGGCCTCTAGATTTCTGACATGCAGCATCTCATCCAAACACATGCAAAAGGATCTCCAGCTCCTCCCAGGATGGGCTGTGCTGTGAAGACTAGGGGCGGTTAGACCTACAGTACAATGCCTGAGGCGCCGACGCTCCTTCTTCCCTGCACCGTGAACAAATATCAACTCTAGGACCTTGTTGACGTTTATCTCACGTTGACTGAGTACACATATTGTGACCATCCAAGTCTGCATTGCATGGTTACACGGATAATCGAGCTTAATACCTGCCTCTCCACGTCTACTGCGTTCATATTATGGTTCTCCATGTATGCGCCGCAGTCTGAGCGCTCGAGGAAGAAAATGAGCTATGTACGTTCCTATGAGATCAAGATATCCCTCATCTCAATCCAAATTCACTAGCCCACGACCACCTCTGAGTCTCTCACATCCGAGCCCGTCGTCCCAAGCAACGAAAATTACACTCTATTCAAATCAGTTATGGGTGTGCAGCCTACCTCATTGAATCGATTCGTACCAGGGAGCTTGAGCGTTCTCCCGGAGGCTGGATACACACATAAAACAGTAAGTACTTCTATACCTTCCTACCTCACCGGTTTGTGTGCCTCTGTTCTTTTATCCCGTCTTCGACTACTCCGGACATTTCAACGAGATGCTGCTGTTTTAGATTCATACAATGCAAAATACTGTCATGGAATTTTTCCCGGGGTATGTTTGTACGACGGGTTCGTATCTTGACATATTAAACATGCGCATTATCTGTACATAGCTACCCCAGTCGGCTCGCGTAACTTGCATAACATTACCCCCTTCTCCCCCTTCTCCCTTCCCCTCAGCAGGCATGGCAGATTCCCTGAGATTTGAAGCTCAAGACAATCGAGGGAGAGCTGCGGAAGTGACTGAGCCTGGAAGCAACGGCCCTCCGTCACGAAACGGTACTAATGTCCGAAATCCCCACCCGCGCCCTCCCAGGAACCCCTTTTTATAAATCAATCACATAGATCACATTTCATCGCAGCTTAACGGAGAATATTCGGCGAAACACAGAGTACATGTACAATTAAGATAGTTTTGAATCCACCGCTCGCTCTCGCCCGGTGCTCTTCCCTCTTCCCTGCACACCCCCCTCCCATATTCAAACCCCATGTCCCCACCAAGACACCAAGACACCCTGGCCCTAGGCCGACTCCCTTGTACTGTACTGTCGCTGGCTAGAACAGCTACAGGTACTACTATCATTACTACTATTATTATTAGCCATCGAACACCCCCAAGGACCCTCGCGGGGGGACCCAGCCCTATTGTAAGAAACGCTGGCCTGTGGAAAAGCGACGCAATGCATAACTATTCAAACCGCATCCCTCGCCCCTCTTCCTTCCCACCACCCATGCCTTGTTCAAATACCTTGACAAACCTGGGTACTAGCCATGCTACTTCGTAGTCCAGGCCTGTGAGTATCCACCTCCACTTCAGTGATAGCAGAGGGAGAAGGTTGCTTGCTAGGTTAATAGGTTTCGTGCTGGGCTGTGTTTTGCTCTCCCGGCCGATTTATTCTTGGGTCCGTCTGAGCACCTTTATTGGTGTTAGTTGGGCATGACCCTGCATCTACTCCGTACAGTACATACCTAATAGGTATGTCGGTAGCTAGCTAGGTAGGTAAACTACCAAGGGTATCTAGGGCTAGGGGACATTGCTGTGCAGCCACTGCGGGCGCGTGCGTTGGAAGGATGATGCTGTAGAGCTTGGAAAAGCGAGATTTCGGGACGGTAAACTCCGTTATTCCTGTCGAAATTCGAAACGGGTTTCTTTTTACTCGTGGGAAGAAATGAATGAATGTAGCGAGTGATTCGAGTGATTCGAGGTTGTTGAAGCGGGCGGGGACCGGGGCGGGCGGGGGGACGGTGGGAAAGAATGAACATGAGAAAACAATCTATGAACCCCGGCAATAGAAAGAAAGTAAAGTATTTAACGTTCGACATGCTTTAGGAAGATGTCGGATAGATAACATATAAGTAACAACATGTTTTTGAAACAATAGCCGTCAACCCAGGCAATACATTATTAGTTATTCATCCTGTTAGAACGGGGGAGCTTGTGTGCGTTTACTTGCCAACTGCTGCGTAACCGTCTCGTCTGTAAACCCTCACGAGAGGAAGGACAGGACAATAGCAATAACAACAACAACAACAACAACAGCTGTCAAACTGGTGAAACTTGGAAAGAAAAACTTCATTTAAGTTGTGATTCATATGAATGGCCTCTTCGAATGTCTTCAAGAAAAGGTTGCATCTCTCTCATCTCCTTGACATCCGGCGTATGTATGTATGTATTGGCAATAAATTGGCCCGGGTTTTGAGCTTGAGCGTCGTCTTGAACGCAACCACTCTTTTCCAAACAAACGTACTATCCTCCTTGTCCGGACCATCTTCCCCTGTCGGTCTTTTGTTCGTATAGCCTATTTCTAATACATACAAAACAAACCGTGCAAGGACCGAGACAGCTGGACAATTTCGTGGTCCTTGGGGAATCCTCTCGGCTACTGGCATGCAAAGGCTAGGTTCTTTTTTTTTTTTTTTCTTTTTTCAGTCTCCCCTCCCCCTCCTCTCGGTGCGCTCTGACCTTCTGCATACGGCAGCTGATAGTAGCTTTCTTTTTGCCGTATCTTCTTTGCCTTATCGTCAAACTGTGGTGTTGGTCGGTCGGTCAACGGAAGGCTCGGGGGTGCACAGGATATGCTTTATCTTGTCTCGATTCTTAAAAGGTAGTTCTTCTCCATGAGTATTAACGTTGGGATTTGCGCGGGGCTTTTTTTTGTGTTGGATCTGATTGGTGCGGACATCGGGCGGGAGGCATGCATAACTCCTCGGCGTATACCTTGGGCTGAGCATTTTGTAATGTGCTTCCAATTGAGTCAGCCGGCACGTTTGTTCGACGACGTAGGTGTCTATCTATCTATCTTACCCCTCTTGCTAAACCGGGGTTACTTAGAGATAGTGGTGGCCAATTAACATAAGAAACCAATGCGGATACGCTTTGCTTTGCTTGCATATTCACTCGCAAGATATTGCATAGGTGGCTCAGATACCCCGCATAATATACACACCTATATGTCAAACTCATATATCCCAGAAGGTCTCGAACTGTTCAACCATTGAACTTAGACAGCTCAGATCCGCCCATGTCCGAACTCACACCCGGCTCATTCGGATGGATATGAGAGGCCAACACCATCTAAAGAATCAGTCACCTCCACATCCTATCGGCGGCCAAAGCTTCCCACAAGATATATATCCCTCTCATCCTGATCACGCGAGGCCTAGTAGCTGTATGATTAGATGGCATGCGTGGAAATGGGGACGGGAAGTATACGTCTCTCAGTACACTTCAAATGAAATACGGGGGGGGGGGTGGCTCTTAGGTTAGAATAAACTGTTTAGGGTCGGGAAAAAGGGAACGCGAGATTAAACCACCAATCGCGAATGGAATAAGATTTGCTCCCACCTCCATGATGTGAGATTGCCCATAACAGATGGTTAGAACCTTGTCTCTTCGAGCGGGAGGGCGGTGTTTGATCGTCCCGCACGCACAAGGCACGGAGCACGGCATCACATGAAAATGTGGCAGAATTGGAGCAACCACCTTGACAAGATATACTGTACAAATTCGTTGCAATGTCGTCAATGGCGGACGGAGCACGCAATGAATTGCCAAATGCTGAGATCAGTCGGCCTAGCATCATCGAGAGCATGCAGAAGCATTAGCGAGAACCACCTCAAGAATTCCATGCATCCTAGTAACCAAGTGGTTCATTCATCGTCTCACGGCAGGACTAGGCCGGGGACTGAGGATCCATTTCGGACCGTCAAAGCCTGCCTGCTTATAGTAGTTTTATTTTGTGAGAAGGGGTACTCAGCTCTTAAGACTAAGATGGGTTGGGTGGTTTTCCAGGTGGTTGCAACTCGCTTGAGATAAGCTTTCTTTCCTGTAGATAAATGTTGTGACTATGGCCTAGGGAGGTAATATCAGCACCTACACTATGAATATGAATACCGGGAAGGAGATCTAAAGAAGAGAAAGTTGGACTTACTCAAGAAACCTTCCTTGAATATTAGTTTGGCGTCAACATAGTCATCTTCAGAGTGCAACACCCCTTATCCATATGACGCTAGGAGATTGAAGTCAGTGGCATTATTTGGCTTTCTAGAGCATAATTAGAGTAATTTTCTTGCTTTGCTAGGTATGAGCTCGAGTTGCCCTGCATTATTATGCTTCCATCATTCTGATGAAGAGGAATATCTGAAGCTTAATAATTTTGATATTGAATATGCTGATGCACAGGCTGGTGAGAAGTGAGCCTCCATGCCTGACATAAATGTCAGAGCATGTGGAGACTCTGAAATAAAAAATAATATCCTCTCTAGTAATGTTCCTAGAGCGCGATTCAAAATCCCGTGTCTTTCGCAATCACTCCATGTAAAGTGAAGCTGTTGAGCAGGAGAGGTACAGCTTCAAAAGCTTAACCAAGAGGCAGCCAACTCTCTTCGGGTGATTGAAGGGGTCCTTTTCTGATTGCATGACAGCCATCTGGAACGCTTATTGTCCTTATAGCATTTCTTTTTTTTCTCTGCTATAAGAGACTGTTCGGCACTGGCAGTCAGACAGAAAGAAGGCCGAGAAGTCTCCAAATCTCCAAAATAACATAACAGCACGCATCTGGCTGCGGGAGTTTTTCAGTGAGCATGTCGACCATTGCCCGATAAGGTTCAGAAAGTTAAACCCGGTTTAAAACATAATTTCAGGATAAAATGACTGCCATCACAATGTCACTGACGTCAACCTCAGACATCAATGTGATGCCTGAAAAGGCCTATCTTCGCTTTAAACCAAATCAACAGACGGCAATCAAGCTTCCACTTTTTCCTGCCATATAAACTCGAACTGCAAACTTTTGTGAGGTGGCCGAGGCTGAGAGTCCATAGAGAACCTCAGAGTGAATCATAGCACTCCAACGGGCTTCAATGGGAGAAGATATCCATAGAGACGACCGAGAAGGTCTGCCTATTCCCCGGTTTCCACTGATTGGTGTTCTTCATCAGGCTCAACCACAGAAATATGCTCTGTTTCCGCGGTTCTGTGACGGCTAAATGCATAGGGTTCGGAGTCTACCGACAGGATTTGTAAACGTGCTCTTTTTATCAATTGACATGGTCGCCCGTTAACTGTCGCCGGGGCATGGCACAGGGCGGGAAAAGCCTTGCCGACGTCAGTGACGTAGTTGATAGCGGGTTGGCAGTTGCTTCCATCCGGATCCGGCAATTTATTTATACCCATGGACGGGACGGGAGACAGTCCAGCTCTCGAAGTCCTTGAATTACTCCCAAGTAGCTGTGCACAGGAACGCATGATCATCTGCAAGAGAAACCGTTGTTCAGGAGATACCGACGCCTGTTGCTATACTATTTAAGACGTTGGTCATCATTTGCGCCAGCGCCGTGAATTCTCCCACATCAATTCGTCAGATTCTCAAGTGGACGAAAGACCAACCAACAACGCCAGACGAAATAGGTTTCTGCCATGTCATAATTCAGAAAGAATGGTTCATCTCTATCTATCTTCCGAACTGTCATATTAAGCTCTACGCCCTTATATTGCGCTTTATCTGTCGTGCACTTTCTATCCGAACTAGAGAGGACTCGGACCTGCCCCTCACTACTAGCACTAATGCGAGGGATGCGACAATGTCGAGCGGAAACTCTACGGGAGCTGGCCTGGTGAACTTGGAGACGGAATTAACTTGCTCGGTAAGGATTAAATTCAAATTGAGCTCCTAGGGTGTCCTGTCAACCCAACCCTCTCAACGACACGGCAGTCTAACTTGCAGCACCAGATATGTACAGATATTCTCTATCAGCCACTGACCCTACTCGACTGCCTCCATACCTTTTGTGGCTCCTGTTTGAAAGAATGGTTTTCATGGCAGGCATCGCATCCACCTAGCTCCAGCAGAAATGTCAAATTTACCTGCCCGTCTTGTCGAGCGGTGATCCGCAACACGAGACATGATGCTAAGGTTAATACGCTACTCGATTTGTTCCTGCAGTCGAACCCACATAGGGCGAGGGGCACTGGAGAGAAGCAGCAGTTGGAACAGAAATACAAACCTGGCGATATTCTTATACCAACACGGCCGGCTAATTCCTCCCGCGCGTCCGACTCAGAAAGGGAAGACGAAGAAGATCGTAGATTGCTGGAGGACGTTAGACAAATGAGTTTATCAGACGTAGATCAAAGACGTGCACGTGTGAGCTCTAGTTCTCGAACCTCGCAATCTCGGACTCGAGATCGAATTCCAGGGACTAGAGAAAGAGACCGCCAGGAAGAAGCTCAAAGGCGAAGACGAAATGCGCGGCGGGCTGCAAGTCAACAGCGAGCTTCCCCCGATCCGGCCATGCGTACAAGGCGAATTGAGCACCAGGCAAGCTTACGATCGTTGTTAAGCACTTCGGATGGAGATTCTGCGATGGAAGAAGAAATTCTTAGACAGATTATAGACGAAGGGCTGTTGGATGGGATAGATTTACAAAGTTTAGATCCGGCGCAGGAAGATGAGCTCAGTGAACGAATCGCCGAAGCGTACCGAAGGAGACACCTTCGCCAACCTATTGCTCGCCAAAATGCGCGTGGTGACAGAGATAGTCGTTCGCGGGATCCTAGAAGCCGTCAACCTAGAACAAATAGTAATAACGAGCGCCCTCCAGTTTCACGACCACATTTGCTTGAAACACCAGCACCAAGGCCCGGCCGCACAAGCCGACAGCAAAGGAGCTCCTCTGACCAGGGCGTGAGGCGTAGAGCGACGTCACCAACCCATAGACCGGTTGCGTCCTCATCGGACGCGCTCGTACAGCCAGTAGTGAGGTCTTCTAGCGATTTATCCGGCCAACGACGCCCTTCCCAGAATCATTCAACTTCAGAGTCATTCCGACACCGAGCGACATCGTCACTCTTGTCCTCTAGACGTAGCGGCGAATCCGAACGGAGGGTTCGCCAGAGCGGCATACGGACTGCTGATCGTCAGCAGATATTTGGCTCCCCAACCTCCCCAACCACTACTACGATTACAAGTGCTCAGACATTATCATCCAGCCCGCACAACCCCCCCTTCCAGTCTACTTCAGGACCTCAACCGACCGAGCGTATTCCGTCCGCTGGCATATCCTCATCCTCAAGACCGTCATCGTCTCGAAGTGACACAGCTATTCGTTCGAGTAGCGAATCACTTCTTCCAGAGCCGTCTATCTCATGCAGTCGATGCGATAAACGGAACATTCAATATAAGGTTTACAAGACCTGTACTCGATGTGATGATGGCAATTACAATTTGTGTTTACTTTGCTACCGAATGGGCCGCGGATGCCTGCACTGGTTTGGGTTCGGGAACAGTGCTCAGGTCCGGTTTGAGAAGAAATATCCAATGGGAATTTCAGCTGTCCAAGAACCACCACACATCTTGCAATCACGTAAATACCTGCGTCCACCGGGTGAAACAACACAAAACCGGCCGAATAGCTCCCGAAGACGAGCAAAGGACGATCCTGCAAAGCGGCTCCAAAACGGTATGTTTTGTGATATGTGCCAATCATTTTCAGATGACTGCTTTTGGATATGCAGCGAATGCAACGAGGGAGAATGGGGCTTTTGTAATAGCTGTGTCAACCAAAGCAAATGCTGCACACATCCTCTTCTGCCACTCGGTCGAGTCCGGGAGAACGAGATTGGCCCCCCCAATCCACCAAGCTCATCTCCCGTAATTCCTTCCAGTTATCAATTAGGATCTACTATCAAGATTGGTAGCGATCGCTATCAGCCTCTTACCTTCTCTACAAAATGCAATAACTGCACCTATCCAATTCCACCCTCGACAAGTCGGTTCCACTGCCCAGCATGCAATAATGGAGATTATGATCTTTGCACAAACTGCTACTTGAAACTAGGGGCGAACGGCAAAATCAGCAAAGAAAACGGACGAAATGGCTGGAGAAGGTGTCTACAGGGCCACCGAATGATTATCGTCGGCTTTGAAGACGACCCAGATGGCCAGAGACGAGTTATAGTCAAGGATATCGTTGGAGGCCATGCGCTGAAAGACGATGTAGCGGCAGCGGCAGCAGCAGCCATAGCGGCTACCGCAAGCGAAAACACAACTACGGGCAGTCCCAATTCTAATGCGCCAGTCCCGATCCCCGTTCGCCAAGATTCCGGAGACTGGACGTGGAAAGAAGACACCACAGGCACTACCAGCATTTCCCACCGTCGACGATTTCCACGAACACGCACAACCTGGTCGAACTCATCGCCAATCACGCCGACCGATCCCACAACCAAAACCCACTTTGCCTCCCATTTCCCTCCATCAGGTGGTATTGGGCTGCGTCTACTGGCGCAGTGGTCATATTACCCTGACCCGGACGTGATGGATGAAATTATGTTTCCTCGCGGAGCGGAGATTACGGAGGCGGAGAACATCAACGGTGACTGGATGTGGGGGTGTTATGCGGGACAGAAGGGCCTCTTTCCCGGTGGATATGTGGTTGTTATAGAAGAAGTAGGGGTGGATGGGGTAGGGAGGGACTAGGCATGGGTACGATTTTGTTTCAGATAGAAATAAATGGTGTTCGATGTTGGTTTTTAGCCAGTGAAGGAAGTTCGACAATTTGATATTTTCTCTTTAGTTCCTTTCTATAAGTTATCTAATGACGACGAAGGTAGGTAGTCGATGCTCGAGGTGGCTGGGTGTTATTATGGCTATGTTTATGCGAAGAAGGAACAACGATTGAATGATTGAGAATGTATCCTATGCTATATGCACATAATAATTCAAACAATTCCGTCTAGGTAGATACTTTCCGGAAAGATTATAGTATAGCAATAACTCAGACATGGAGATTGTTGAGCTGTTCTCCATATATTCAACGATGCAAGTGGACGCGTCGCATTGTCACGTGATCCAGTTTCAGCCCATCTCGACTTTACCCCTTTTTATTTTCAATGCCTGTCAGTTTTGTTTACACACAGTCTATCTCTAGCAGTATAACATGACGGACTTTGGCAGTTGATATAACTTATAAACCACCAATCCCATCCGCTGCCAGGTCTGCCACGTCTACTGCAACTACAGCAGGTCCTGATATATCCGAACGTAGCAAACCTAATAATTTCAAAGACGCGCATCCATCCACCACGGCCCGCAAAAATGTCCTCCGCCACACCCAATAACAAACAAGCCTTCCTCCTAGACCTCCCTACCGCCCTCTCCCTCGCCGCCGCCCTCTCCCTCCTCCCCCTCGCCTCCCTCCTAACCCTCCTCCTCATCCCCTCCAGGCGGCCTAAGACAGACCGCCTCCTCTTCTTCTGGCACGCCTACGACGCTCTCACCCATCTCATAATCGAAGGTTCCTTCCTATACAACTGCTTCTTCATCTCTACGGAAATCCCCGCCGTCACGGCCCAACATATCCCGGGCCCACACTTCCTTGACCAGCCGCATCGCCTGTATGGAGCCGCGTATGGCACGGGCGCCACCGCGCGTCTGTGGCAGGAGTATGGGAAAGCAGATAGCCGCTGGCTAGGCGCTGATCTGGGTGTGGTTGCGCTGGAGTTGCTTACCGTGCTGCTGGGCGGGCCGGCGGCGGTGTATGTTTGCTATACGCTTTATAAGTCCTCCTCTGCTTCGTTGTCGTCGTCGGCGGTGGCGGCGGATGCGGATGCGACAGTTCAAGCAGCAAAATACCGGTTCAGGATGTGGTTTGTGGCGATTGGCCTGGCTGTTGCGGAGTTGTATGGTGGATTTATGACCTTTGCACCCGAATGGCTTTCCGGGAGCCATGCGCTGGACACCAGCGATCCGATGTACCTGTGGCTTTATCTTGTGTTTTTCAACATTCTGTGGGTGTTTTTACCGATTTGGGTTTTGAAGCAAGGGTGGGGAGAGGTTAAAGAGCAGTTTGTTCGTGCGGCGTTGGCTGGGAAGAAAGGAGCTTCCAAGAAAGATTTATAAAGGACGGGGGAGAGATGTTTTCTCTGATACCCGGCGTGTTTTGTTGGCGCGTTCATAGCCTAGCAGTTTTGAAAATAGGTGGTGGCGGCATGGAGCGGCCAAGTTGTGATATGGGGTAGGTAGGGGGAGAGCATTTCTAGTTCTTCCAAAGATGCGAGTGTTCTGGCTTTGTTATTTGGGGGCCGTTGGTGTGCGTGTACTATCTTTGTGTCGGGTACGAAAACAAAATTTAAGCTTAAAACGATAACGGATGCAAGCCAAGGTTCCATGCCATTGTTACCGTTGTTGTGTTGGCATACTATTTGTTGTTTATGCTACTATATCCATATTCGCCGCTGATCACTACCCCCTACTATGTTTTAAGGTCATAGGATAGGTAGAATCCAAACACACTCTTGTCTGTTCCTTTCCCCTCCCTTGGTCTGGATCCGTGTTGAAACCTGAGGCTGTCTCCGGACTGGACTGGGTGGGATATTAGAATCTCCTCTGGCTCTATCCGTACCTCGCCCACAGCCACCCGTTTTGACATCAAGCCACCTTTTGTGCAGCAGGGATAACCCATTTATTATTGTGGGATGTGGAATACTTGGCTTCATTCATCGTATCTATGGACACTCACTTCGCACGATTTAGCCAATCATGGCTTGATCTAGCGCAGCAAACGGATAGAAAATTCCACAGCCGCGATGGGAGAGCACCGCCACAATCTTCCAAGAAACTATCCACACTAGCAAGAATAATAACGGGGGGAAAGCGAACTCATTCTGATATCAGCGGCCAGACAGCACAAAGACGAGGCCAGTGAGGCAGCCTTATGCGTCCGTCTTGAAATGGTATTATGAGAGAGCCGGGTTTTGTTGTTTCGGCTCCTATTCGGCCAGTCTGCCCCGCCACAATCATATGAGGGGCATCGCTGATGATGTCAGGGACTTTTTCCCTTGGTTAAGGCAGATCCGGGCCACAGGCTCCAAGCCCAGAAACTTATCCGTGGTCAGGTCCTTGCGAAGGGACGGATGAGAAGATTTGTATATTATTTACTTCTGTAGTTAAACTGTGGGACGGGGAAATCAGCCCCATCTTATCGATCCACTCCCTCCGCCAGCCACGACGCGAACATTTAAACAAATGCAAACATCTCCCCCGCTCCATATTCTTCCATATTCGCTCATTTTCTTAGCGTAGGCACGCTTTGCTCTCGCTTCCCGCTATTTCATTTCAGCAAAAGGGAATTGCTGTGACAGGTACCAGAGATCTCGAATTCACGTCCTACTACCCACGGACTGCGAGTTTTCAAAAGCAAAAATGGCTGATCCTAATGCACCTCCTGGCTGTATGTGTTCCCCCAAGCTCATAATAATAAGTTAACTAGCCTTGATTGTGATGCTTACCTGTCCTCAGCTGGCCACCCTCCTCCCGCGCAACCTGGACAATATCCACCACAGCAATATGGTGCCCCTCCTCCCCAGGGCTTCCCTCCACAGCCAGGACAATACCCTCCGTACGGCTACCCTCCCCAGAGCCCATATGCGCCGCAACAAGGGCAACAATATCCCCCGCCTGGCCAGTACCCTCCACCGGGTCAATATCCACCCCAATATGGCCAATATCCGCCTCAACCTTATCCCCAGCAGTATCAACAGCCGCAGGGCCACTACCAATATCAACAACCACCGTATGGATACCCACCACAAGCTCCACCCGCGGGGTATAATGCACCACAACCAGGTGCTCCGGGATACGGCGCACCACCCCCCGTCCAGAACCCCCCGATGCAGCCAAATTTTGCGCCAGGAATCGCGATGGAACGCCCATCGATAGGTTACACTCCTGGCCAGATGGCCCCAAATGACCTCGCTGACGATGCCGATGCCCTCCGAGCTGCCATGAAAGGGTTTGGAACCAATCAGAAAGTTCTCATCAAGATTCTCTGCAAAGCGGACCCCCTGGCTATCGAGAGGCTAAAAGATACCTTCGCGAAGCGCCTCGGACGTGACCTGAAAAAGGATATCATCTCCGAGACCTCTGGCAACTTCGAAAATGTCCTTGTCGCGCTGGTTCACGGGCCGCTCAAGCAGGATGTATACGCGCTCAGGAAAGCTCTCAAGGGCGCCGGCACAGATGAAGCGATGCTCAACGACGTCCTGCTCGGCCGATCCAACGCTGATATCAACGCGATCAAACAGGCTTACATGGTAGAATTCAAGGGCAGATCCCTCGAAAAAGATGTCAGCGACGATCTATCCGGCGACATCAAGGCGCTCTTCAACATCATCTTGACCGCATCACGGCCTCCAGAGAATGCGCCAATCGGCCCCAGCGAAATCAATCTCGCCGTCAAGGACCTCTACCATGCCATGAGCACGCTGATCCCCGACGCCGCCGTCGCCACCCGCATCTTCACAGGCCACTCATACAGCCAACTACGCCAGATCAAACAGCAGTACGACGTGCAGTACAAAACCGTGCTCGAGACAAAAGTCGAGAGCAAGTTCTCCGGCCACATGAAGGCGGCACTCCTTGCGATCCTACAGAGCGCCACGGACCCGATCAAGCGGGATGTCGAGGGCATTGAGGCCGCCATGAAGGGCTGGGGCACCAAGGATGTTCATCTCATTGAGCGACTCGTGCGGATCCACTGGGATAGAAACCGGATGCAGCAGGTTAAAACTAAGTATAAGAATGTATATCACAAAGAGCTCGTGGATAGAGTGAAGGGGGAGACCAGCGGCGATTACAGAGCGGCGTTGGTAGCGATTTTGGAATGAGTATGGATAAGGCATGGGGCATATGATGATTTATTTTTACTTCTTATTTTCTTCTGAAGGATTCGTGGATTCGTCCTTATGTTTTTAATATGGCGCACTTACCCCCATTCCCCGGCCTTCTTCCACCCATTTCGTTTCGTTTCGTTCCACCATCTCCTGTTTTCAGTTTGAATGACTGGCGAAGAGTGCGCTATTGTCCGCGCTCTTGCTCGATTTCTATACTTGCCTTCCTTGTTTGGCGCCCCCTCTTATTAACCATTATAACCATTATCTCTACACGAATATTGCCCTTTTTTTTTTTTTTCTTCCTTATATTGAGCGGCAAGTTTCCGCAAATTGAACATGCACATCAAATGTCTCTATATACTTAAACCAGGCTGCGAGGTCATAATATATTTTTATACCCATAGCATGTGTGTTCAGACGTATAAACCCCTTCTGTGAGGATTCTTTCACCATACTCTCTTCCGTTAAATCATATTAGGGATATATCGAGCAGTGAGATACTGATGGGCAGCAGAATTGATATACGATAGATATTAAAAAAAATGAATACAAAGGCAGATATCCAAAATAGCATTAACAAGAGGGGAAAATATAATAAAAGAAATAAAAGAAATGTATAAAACAAGCAAATCACTCGAGAACAGCAATCAAAAATTTACAACATGAGGATTGATGTATCACATGTAACAGAAATGGGGTATATAATGCCCTGATAAAAGCCCTATGCATGCAGTTCATTTCTGGCCGTCATTTCGTAAAGTTCGTAAATATATTTGTGTGTGCCTATGTGGCAATTGTGAATAGGGGCATTAATACGGTGTTGTGTATGGTATGTAGCTAGCTGGATGGTAGGTAGCGACTGGATGGATACTTCGGTATATCATCATCGTGGAATATTAGTTACTTGTGTGTGTATGAATGAGTGATAAGAACTAAGAGACAAGGTATGTTAGCCTCGTATTTATATAAATAGAGAAGAATTAATAGGAGGGAATATTTTAAACATACCGTATAATCGGGGCTCGTCTACGAGTTGTGTGTCGGGTCGGGATCGCTTTTCTGGTGCATTTTCGACGTCCTGACCCCTCGATATAAAACTTGGAACAAAACAACAAAAGAAATCCACCATAAAGGGATCATGAAAAGCCTCATCCTCTCCACCTCAAATCTCCTGAATATCACACCAAAAGAAAAAGAAAAAGAAAAAGTGTCAATAAAAACACGTTGAAAGAAGCAAAAAGACAAGAAACAAAAAAGGAACACAAAACAAAGAATCAAACCCTCCCCCTCCCCGTCCCCCTTCCCCCCTCCCCTCCCTCCTCCGCCTCACTCCCCTCACCACTCCCATTCCACAACCGACCCACACTCTCCCGCACACTAAACCCGCCAAACAGCCAGTCATTCGCATGGCGCCCGCAGTGGTTCACCGTCCCGGACAGCCGCCTGTTTTCACTCAGGCTGCTGCCCCCGCTAATCTTGCGCTTGGGATGGCCGTGCGGGTTCGAGTGGCGTTTGCGCATGGCGCGAAGTGGTGTTGGCGGGGTTCTGGCTCTAGGGCTTGGGCTTGGACTTGCGGTTGTGGCTGTTGGGCTGGTGACGAGGGGTGCGGGGGAGGTTGTGCGGTGGCTCGAGTGGGTGAGGTAGGTGAGCGGGGCGCTGGTGCTGGGGGTTGAGGTGGAGGAAGAGGAAGAGGGGGTGTCGATATTGTTGGCTTTGGCGGCGGTGGTGGAGGTGGTGGAGGTGTCGATTGGGGTTGGACGGGGGGATTTGGAGCGGTAGCGGAAGAAGCGGCGGGTTGACGTTGTTGTGGTAGTGGTCGTCGTCATTTTCATTTCGGGCATCTCGGGGGTTGTTTCTGAGGTTGTGTGTGTGGTTGTGATGGGTTTCTCGTGCGTTTTCTTCCACATTCGTTAAGTTTTCTTTGAAACGAATAAGGGGAAAAGACAAAAGGTTTGTCGATTCGATTGGATTTTGCCTGTCGAAGGACAGGGTCGATTGGTGTCGATTGGTATCAACGCAAATTCAATTGCGGATTAGTAGCGAGCTTTCGTCGAGAAGGCTCTTTCCGCTCGATAGGCCTGGTTAAGATATCAAGACAGCAATTCTACAGTTATCTTTCTTATGCTGGTTATCGAATGCGGGATCGGACGTGTTTTGCGACAATGTTCGTAGAATCTCAGAACCAAGTCTCGAGATCAGGAAGCAAGGGAGAGACAAGGACGCACTGCGTCGGTTATTGGGTATGTTTGTACTGGTGATATACGACCCGGTAACAGGACGGAATACGTTTGATAGTGCGGAAAGATAGGGACACCAGTGCCAATTCTATTGCTCTGATGTAATTATTTGAGAATGAGGATGTGTTTTGTCTCGATCAACGGACGACGAAGGTGACTTTACTATTGTAATATCAAGAAGGACTGTATGAGACTCGAATGACGCATAAAAAGCGAGAGGTTAAAGAAAAAAAAAAAAGGTAGATTCGCTGGGGGAAGCGAGGTATTTATCTTCATTTTGATTTCGATTCCGCCTGAGACCTTATCTGCAAGCCCATACATATTATTCTGAGATGATGTGCACCATCACATCCACCCAAAATTAGTTCCTCGGCGGGGGATGTGGATTGGTCTGTTACCAGGACCAAGTGGAGCATTTTGTGCAGTTCCGGAGAAGAAGATAGATACCACTCCAGTCTAATTATTTTTGAGGCGCAAAGTGATTGAAATGATGCGGTCGGTCGGCTGGTTGGTCGCTCTCCTGCACCCGGGATCGTCAACCTACGCTGCGTAGGCTGGGAATAATTCGTCCCATTTCAGTGGCAGGGAGTTAGGTGGTGCGGACTGTCGATGCTCGATCACACCGTTTTCACCTACCCTACCTTTTCATTATTACATAGTATTTGGTCAGTCACTGGCTTCCCGCTAGTTACTGTTCCCAGAACTCCCATGCGTTGGCACACCCTGTCTCCTGGAACCAGTGAATCATCGCGCCGACAGAGCCATCTTCCGAACTTCAAAATTCTGTCGCTTGTGACTTTGAACAAATCAGCAAACTTCGAACCGGTGACGATGTATTTCGCAAGCTATTCACCCCTTAGTCGAGCCAAGTCACTGGTATGTTTTGGGGTGCAGCAAACTGTCTTGCAATCTGGGGGCTGATAGGGGTGGGGCGGATGGCCAACTGGGCCGAAAATGCCTCCAGAACGGGGCGGGGATCAGAGGGGTGTGAGATAGGAGCAGTTTGGCTTGTGATTCTGGGCCTAATTCAGCCGTCTATGGGCACCAATGCATGGAAGCTCCAATCCCACATCCCCAGCTCGTCCGTTTCTGGCCAGTTTGCTGGTGCATGCCAGGCTTTTTGCATCCTGCCTAGGTTGCCTATAAATCGCAGCTGTTTCGCTGTATGGGTTATCCGAAACCAAGCTCAAGTTTGCCCTGTTCCCATTTTTCTGCGGTCTGTTAACTAGCCCATTGTTACTCTCGGCGCGTTAAGTTAGTAGGTAGCGCGCTATATGAAGAGTCATCGGATCAAGACGGCATAAAATGAACTGTGTATGTGAAAACTGCCGTATCATTTCGGCATCGGGATCCGGGTCAGGAAATATGGATGACTTTGGGGATAGCAAATTTAGCAACAACGGCAGAGATTCATCGCCAATATTTATTGCTGCCGAAACGGCCAATGACATCCCCAGGATTGGTGGCTCTATCTCCATATCAGGTGATACAAGGCAGGCACAGGCCGCGGATCTGGCTGGGGAGCCGGGATTGTGATGAACAATACGGATGGGAAACTGGTGGCAGAGCCTCAAGAGCGGCTTATTCTTCTTCTTGGCATTCGTCGCCACCGTGCCTGCAACCCACCACCTGTTCAGCCCAAAGTGGAGCACATCTCTGCCTTCTAGCGTCCTTCTAGAAAATAACATGGCGTCTTTGGTGACCTCCCATTCGCTACGGCACCATCCTGGTCACAACAACCCCGGGTTGCAGGCTTACCGCCAGTTTCTGAAATCACATGGACGAGACCTGACTAACTCGCCGCTTTTGCTTAGTATATGTCATGCAACTTCATACCTAGATGGACTTCATCTGTGAAGGGCGAGTGCATAACAGGTCTCAAAAATGAGATTTTATCCATCAAGCCATTCGGTTCACATGAATAAAATATTAAAAACTCGAACATAAACATACGAAAATATAAGCTCAAATCTTGATAGCTGCCTGTATAAAAAATGGTCTTATAACTCTCGTGGAATAATTAGTTAGTAATCTTGGCAGCATATCAGCATGAGAAGGTGAAAAAGGAGAATGAAACTTGAGACAAAGAGGAGTCGCGATCTCGCTACAATGTCGAAGAAAACATCAAAAAAGGGGGGAAACAGAAGAAAGAAAAAGCAAAAGAGACAACTAGATAGAGGTGATGGATAACTCAGCTTCAATTATAGATCTTGTATATGTATCTTTGCAGCAGTCAGAGAACTTTTGAAGTGCAAATACAGCACAGATCTTTGATTAGACATTCATAATGACAATTCTGAATGTTTGGGTGACTCAGCTGTTGGAGCCTGTACTGCTGAGTTGTAGAAGATTCTGAAACTGTTTTGATCATGAATGTCTTTGGATTTTCTTCTGTGATTTTGTTACTTAGAGATTTCAATCTACTGAAAGACCTTATTCTCAAAAAGAGTGAAGAACTGAAGATCAACAGAAGAAAGAATATTGAGAACTTATCAATTCTATATACAGAATTTTGTTATTCTAATTCACATTTCACTGCAGATATTAAGCAGTTGTCAGATAAGTGAATAGCTCAAGCAGTTCTAAGCATGATTGAGATATGTTATTGAGATTCCTTCTATCAATATTATGAATATAGAAATATTGTCAATTCATTCTTGTAACTAAGGGGTGGGATGACTCAATGAGACATCAAAATCAAACGGCTAGATCTAACCCCGTCGGCCTGAACCTTGAAGGGAACATTCTTCGTGCGTTCCATGGAGTTCCACGATCCATGGTCGCTTCCCGCTGTCAGGTGATTTTCAGCCGCACTCTGCCAAGGAACGCTAAGCCTCACCATCCGTACGATTATCCAAAATGTCCAGCCAACTCAACAACAATGACGATGGTTCCCAGAATCCCAGCGAACCATCCATCTCTACTCCGTGCACTGTGAGAAGTCTTCACATGCAAAAACGTCGTTACTCTCCCATCATTAATTGGCCGTGGAGAAAGCCATGTATTGTATGTATGTCAACAAGTTCCCTCAAATGTTACAGGGTGCAAATAATTTTGATACTATGACAAATGAGCTTCAACAGCTGATGGATATGTGCCATGGTATATTTTGTGATTCCAGATCCAGTCGTTGGCGGTATCAGACCCACGAGACTGTGAGGACGAAAAGCTATACCCCGGCTTGAAACTAAGGAAATATCCAACATGGCGCTCTTGTTGAATGATTGGCGAGCCCTGCGCAGTGGACCGCAGGCATGATCCAGTTGCACTACATGAAAAACAACAGGAATGGTGGCGGCCCATGCTGCTCTGAAACGCATGCAAAGGGAAATACCAGAACTAGTACTCTGTATGTATATTTAACTAAGAGATTGAGGGACTGCTGTTAAAGCCCTCTCTCCTTGAGACGGCAATGTATGCCAACGTGCCTGCAGAATCTAGACAACGAGGTCATGATAGCAGCCACACTACCGCATCCGTCCTTGTTCACACACCAGCTCTACCAATTAAAGGATCTTGTGCGACTAGTTCTTTCATGAAAGAAACAATCAGAAAGTTTTCCCCAAACATAAAAAGAAACTAAATAGACATCTGTGGAACCTTTGAAATTGGAAGATGATAACAGAGTGTGGAATTTTCCCACATTTGGTTGGTTGGTTTTCATAGAAAATTAATCAGATTCTTTCACCAGATCAGTTTATTCCGAGATTGGTTCTGAGAAGCCACGGATGTGAAACTCCAGTATACTGTAACATGGCACCTTGAGAAGACATGATCAATCCTTTGAGTGAAGTGAAAGTAAAAGTTTCGTGCCATGCTCTCCTCTGTTATCGGTTAACTATGTATTCGCAAATCTTACCCCTTGCTGATATATATATATATCTTATGCACTATACTGGTGTATGCCCTGCGGTGACAGTGTAATTTCTTTTCTTTCTTTGATGTAGCAGTAACATCCATCATTACTCCTGATTAACTTAAATCTAGAAAGGGAGATATTCTTTGTTCTTCTGAAGAGAAAAAATATAGGAGAAAGTGTAAATCAACTTTGACTATTAGTTTTGTCTGAATTCATCTCTTTGATTGTAGAAAGTGAGAACTTCCCACTCTTTCAACCAACTATGAGAAGAATAAAGTCCTCCTGATGCATTTGAATCCACTTCACAGATTTACAGGAATGATAGAAAGCCAGCCTCTGAATCAAGTTATTGCTGTAATCATTCTGAACTGCATACATAATTCTTTTCAGGTTAAATTGCTCAAAAGACAACAATGTAGTGTCCATGGAGTGATAAAGTCCTTTTGAAATAAAGAGTGCATCCAAAGCCTAGCTGTACTGTTGTAAGCATTGATGGCATTTCAGCACAACAGATGAGGTGCGGAAGAAGAGAGTTGAAAAGAGAACATTTTTAAAGAGAAGCAAAATGTGTAGAACATCTGATAACAAGCTAACTAGTCCTACTAATCTCCTTCTGGATGGAGATATCCTAATGAGCGTTAAAAAATCGTTGAAACAAAAATCAAAAATCAAACCCCGAAATTCAAGAAGACCGAAATGTCTCTCTACACCCGTTTCCCGCCGATATTAAGTGGTTCGATGCCCAGCACCATTTGAATGATCGATGGTCTCGAGCCGCACCTTCGCCGTCAACTTCGTCCCCAACTATATTCTCATCTCCCAGTCCTGCTTGACGTCCCATTATTAGATGGCACTCAGTGAGTGACCTCAATCCCGTTGGATTCAACCCCATCCCTTGACGTTTCATCAAGCAGCTCTCTTCTTCGCCAGGCGTGCTCATATTCCACATCAGTCATTCCTATACCCCTATACTTATGTTCGAGGGCGTCGAAAGCAAGGACATTGTCCACGTGTTCGACCCCTGGTAAAAGAGGTTAGCTCACCACTTCTATTCTCACGCGAATTATTCCATAGATATAATAGGCGAACGCATAAATAAGGGCTATAAATAAAACAAGTAGCTGAACACTCACAATATTGAGGAATCTCTTGATTAGTTACTTCCACCGCAACAAAGTTACTGAGGACAGTGCGCCGTGAAACCTGGCTGTTGTCTGCAAATGTAAAGTGCGCAACTGCACCTACTTTGAAATTCCCCAGAGCTCCAAATAGGACATTCCTGAAAAGCACCCAATGGTAGGTGGGAAGCCCATCTAAGACTCTGAAAGTGTTTGACGTAAACTGTTCAGGCATAGATGTGTTCTCCTGGTCTGCTCTCTGAATGTGCAGAGTTGTTTCAATACGTGTAACTCGCTTGTCCTGGAAACCCGTAGCATCACGAGTATTAAGACTAATCAAGATGGGCCACTCCACGGGAACATTCGGTTTGATTCGCCTAGCGGGCTTGATGACGAATTTCGGCTTGATTTCCAAGGAGGACCCTGTAGGAGGACTTGCTTGCAATGGTTCACTCATGTCTGAGTAGGGTGTTGCTGATCTTTACTGTGATGGAAGAAGTTGATGAAATCAGTTAATTCAGGCAGGTATTCAATTTCAACTTGAATAAAGGTCAAATAAGATATGATTCGTGATGTTGAAACTATCAAATATTTGTCAAGTGAAGAGACATTAGGTCTTTTATATCCCTTAGGCACTGGGGATTTGATTTGGTTCAATTTTGAAAAATAGTGCTCTTTGGGTACGTGAAACAAGTTCGTGGTATCTATTCATTGAGTCTGCTGGCTGATGGTGGTCTCAGTAGAGCTTGACTGTGCCAGCTCGCATCTCCCTTTGGTAGATCCCAGCAATATTTCCTATCCCATATTGTTTCATCCATCATAAAATGGCCATAGATGTGCTGGGAATGACCGGTATTGAGAAACATGAAACTGGAAGCTTCATAATGCCTTGAGCCTGTGAAAACCCATTTTTAGAATCTCGTCACAGCTAGAAAAACAATTTAAAACATGATAAACTAGTTTCAAATGGTGAAGAACACGTTTCAGGGTCGAGATTTTTTTGACTCCAGGTGATTGAATGCATGAAACCCATGAGATCTCAAGGATGAAAAGATGTCCTTCCATTTAATTCAAAGGAATATCTGAGATGGGCCTTTATTATTGGATTTTTGTCTAGTCCTGCTCACGGGCACGCGGTATCAGAAAGGGCAGTGACTGAAGACACCTAGAAAGGGTTCCAGACGCATCACACAAATTCTGCAACTCATGGAGTTCAAAGCCCACTTGCATGGGGTGATACTCAAAAAAAGGAGGAAACGGTCTATACAATCCCAGATATGGAGAAGGCATCACAGAACTAGCATTGGATTCTGCCGTAAGACTTGGCTTGCATGTCTTCAACCCCTATGGAGACGGCAAGCTTTTCACGATTTAGGATATGAGCAAGAGTAGATGACTGCGTAATTTAGACAGCAAGACCACGGTAGGAGTCAGCAACCTACATTAGGTACGACAAACACCTGTTGGCCACTGTGTCTGGAAGTAATCTACTTTTCTCTCTCTATCTGGGTCCAATTACAACTCCTGTCCTGGTGATTGTTTCATTCAAAGATTTTGGCAATGACAAAGAGTGGCGGAATATGCATATGTAAAGCATCC